CAAGCGCGAGGATGTGGGGAATGATCATGCGCGCGCGAGGGCTTGTATTGCGCGCAAAGGACATGTCACGCGCGCGCGAGGGTTTGAAATGAGCTCGCGGGCTCCCGTTTCCACGCGTGTAAATCTGTTTTCCTCTCACGGAAGTGATTTACCACGCGCGCCAGCATCAGTGGTGTGCTCGGTTATTAATGGCATAGGATTGCCGCCATACAGTTCTTTCATGATTTAAGAGGAGGGGCCAATTAATTTTTCACGTAGGGCCAGGTAGGTTTGGACAGCTTTTTTCTCTTAATAAATGAAATCATCATTTAAAAACTGCATTTTGTATTTACTTGCATTATATTTGTGAAATATTACAATTTGTTTGAAGATCTGAATCTTTTAAGTGTGACAAATATGCAAAAAATGTAAAATAAAAAAAACAGGAAGGGGGCAGAAACCTTTTCACAGCACTGTGTGTGTGTATATATACAGTATTATATTAAGGTGTGAGAGTATAAATGGATTGTATACATATGCCTGGACATCTTTAAGCATAACTGTTTGAATTTATATGAAATGGTAACACATAAGAGTAACTCTTACAATAATAGTAACATTAATTAAGGTCAATAAATGCTGTAGAATATTTTCTAATGTTGTTAGATCAAGTTAATTTCAACATTTACTAATACATTTTTACATTTCAAAGTTGTATCGGTTAACATTGGTTAATGAATTATAAACTAACATGAATGCTCAAGGTATAATTAATAAATTTGTAAATTTTTGGGGTGTAAAAGTGTACAGTCTCTTGCATAGACTGACTGCCCTACACAGACCTGCAGAGAAGACATTTGCAGAACTTGTTCAAGTGATGTGAGAGCATTTATCACCCAAACCATTATTGATCGCTAAACGTTTCAGATACTATAAATAAAAATCAGTGTGAGGGAGAGACCATTTCCAAGTTAGTGGTTGACTTGAAGTTAACGAAGCATTGCCAATTTGGGGACGTGTTAAATGACATGCTGTGCGAATGTTTAGTATGTGGAATTCATCATGAAGGAATTCAAAAGAGACTGAAGAGAAAAGAGAAAACCAGATCTGACATTTAAATGAGCAGTAGAAATCACCATTTCAATGGAAACTGTAGCCAAAGATTATCTCGAGTTACAAAGTGATATAAAGGTTGGAAATGTACATAAGCTGTCAACCGTAATCACATGTGTAATCAGTCCAATAGATGGGCGAGACGTCACGGGCGGGTGACGTAGCGACCAGGAAGCTATAAAAGCTTGTGCGGTGGAACCGGCGTCAGCTTCTAGGAAGGAAGCAAGCGCTTGCAGGGATGCCGGGAGAATGGCACTGAGACGCAGCGTCTCGTTCCCTTCGGGGAACCATGGTTACATGCGTAACCTGGAGACGTTCCCCTTCAGGAACTTGAGCTGCGTCGAACGCTATTGGAATGAGTATGCCCCCGCCGCCAGACTTACAGATCCCTGCCCAGTGTCGAAGCTATGGCGAGAGAACAGAAGAGCCCGGAGTGGCTCGCATATCTAGGCCATAGAACCTGACGAACGTGAGGGGCGTGGACCAACCCACAGCGTTGCAGATGTCCTGCATAGACACACCTGCTAGAAATGCCTTTGAGGCCGCCACACTCTTAGTTGAGTGAGCCTTGACCCCCAGAGGCAAGGGGAGATCAGAGGACTCGCAAGAAATGGAAATGGCATCCACTGTCCACCGACTGAGGGTCTGTTTCGTAGCAGGAAGACCGTAGCAAACAAGCAGTTGGTCCGCCCTTCTCCACAGGGCAGCTATGTGGACGTATGTGTCCAGTGCTCGCACATACAATTAAGCTTCTGCTGGTCGAGCTCCCGGAAGGGAGGAGGACAGAAGGCCTGGAGTATGACAGGCTGTGGTGCAGAGGAGGGGACTTTAGGAACATAACCCGCTCAAGGGTAGAGAAAAGCTTTGGCCAGACTGGGCGCAAAGTCGAGATAGGAAGGGGCCACTGAGAGGGCCTGCAGATCCCCAACTCTCTTTAGAGAAAAAATCGGCAGAAGGAAGGTTTATAGTGAGATAGCGATCAGAAATCTCTTCAATAGGCTCGAAGGGAGGCTTGCAGAGAGCTTTTAGCACCACAGCCAGGTTCCACATGGGGACGCAAGATCGTACCGGAGGCCTCAGCGCACCACAGAGGAAACGTGTAATCAGGGGGTGTCTGCCCACTGACTGGCCACCAGTAGGGGCGTGGTAGGCCACAATGGCCGCCACGTAGACCTTTAGGGTGGAGTGGGTCAACCCTGTGGAAAATCGGGCCTGCAGGAACTCCAGAACTGTACCAACTGGGCAGTTAGTTGAGTCGAGCTGGCGGTCTCCATACCAAGAAGTGAAAAGTTTCCACTTCAGGGCATACAGTTTCCTCGTAGAGGGAGCTCTGGATGGGAGAATGGTCTCAACGACCTCAGTTGAGAGACCAGAAGCTACGAGTTGTGCCCCCTCAGGTGCCACACCCATAACTTCCACAGCTCCGGGCGGGGGAGGAATATCGTGCCCTCCGCCTGTGAGAGGAGATCCCTCCTGACAGGAATCTCACATGGAGAGTCGTCGAGGAGAGAAACCAGGTCCGAGAACCTTTCTCGGCCCAGCCAGAATGGGGCTATTGACAGTAGACGGACCCCGTCCCGGCGTACTCTCTCCAGAACTCCCGTGAGCAGAGCGATCGGGGAAAAGGCGTACTGACGAAGCCGAGGCTACGTCTGTACCATAGCATCCAGCTCCAATGGAGCTGGATGAGTCAGAGAGAACCAGAGGGGACAGTGTGATGTTGTATGAGTCGCAAACAGGCCCACCTGAGCCTGGCCAAAAATTCATATCTGCTTCATCACCTCGGGCCTCGGCCCCTGACTCAACTGGATGTCTGCTCCCATATTGAGATGCCCAAAGATGTAAACTGCTCTTAGAGAAAGGAGCTTCCCTTGGGCCCACACAAGGATCTGGTGCGCCAGCTTGTACAAGGGGCGCGAACGCAGACCTCCTTGGTGGTTGATATAAGAGACCACCGCTGTGTTGTAGGTGCACATCAACACATGACGATCTTTTAAGTCTGGGAGAAAGTGTTTCAGTGCTCGAAACA